TGGCCGACTTTGAAGCACGCGCGAACGCCTTTAGCTTTAAAGGCGCGGCTGGTAGCGTGCCTTGTCCCAAGCGTAGGAACGTCGTCGGCAGGTGTATTTTTTTCGATAACGACCCCAATGTTGTTCATATATATGACCCTTCGTTCGACAGGGTAGAACCGAGATCGCACGACGATTTGCTGGAGGTCGCGGAGCAATTGTCGGACCCCGCGACGAGGGGCAGGAATCGCGAGCTCAAGGATGCGCAACAGTACTCAGGGATCAGATATGATGGAGACGCACTGCCGTGGGACAAGGAGATGCTGGAGATTACGCGGCCTCCAACATGCATGCACATGGATTGGATGCACTGCTTGGCCGCATCAGATGGCATTGGGCAGTTTTTGCTGAACCGCGTGCTGTGGGCTCTTCTCGACTACAACGCGGCGCTCACCTTGGAAATGGTCGACGAGTGGGCCAGCGATTTGAGGCGCCCTCGGGGCCGCCAACAGTTTCCAAAGAAGTTCTTCACTGACCGATGCGCCCATGGAATTACAAAGCACATCCGCGCATTCGCGTCGGAGGTCCTCACGGGCGCGCTCGCGCTGTCTATGCGCATGGAAACGTTCGCGGGGCATGATCATGCATTGGGAGAACACCTTCTGTTTCTGAACATGCTCGTTGCGATCTTCGAGATGCTTGAGCGAGGGGGCCATTCGGACGCGAGGGCAACAATGGAAGCATATCAACAGTTTGCCAAGCTGTATGCCAAGCTGTATCCAGAGTGCCTGAAGCCCAAGATACATTATACGTGGCACGCGCTGGAATCTTGGAGAGATTTTGGCATTCTCTTGCCGTGCTTCTCCACCGAGCGCAAGCATAGGACGTTCAAAAAACCATGTCGTTTGCGTACAAGTCTGCATACTCGACAGCACTGGCCACGGAGCTCCGCCGAATGGCGAGCCATTTCTCCCAATGGAATACGTTTCAGAAGTGTTTCCTTTTTAGACCCAGTTCGTCGGACAAACAGGATGCTAGACTTGGGCGGTGGGAACCAAGCTACCGTCACCAATTGGTCCCTTGGCGTGAACACTCCCCGAGGTCGTTTCTTTAACAATGACTTGTTGTGCTGGAGGATCAATAACACTTGGCGCTGTGGTTTCGCAGTCGGGTTCATCAGAGGCCATTTTGGCATATTGCACGGCTTTGGCGCGCTTGTGCACACGTGTGCGCCGATGGCAGGTACTTCTGCCTGGCGGAAAAGCGACGTTCTCTCATTTCTCGCAGTCGAACGCGTGATTTGTGCACTGACTTACTTGAGGTGCGATGAGAATTCATGCGAACTTCACTTTCCTTGTTCTTTTTGAGCGTCGCTTCAGACGCTCGGCTGCGAAGCTGGCGAGGAATCCATCCTGCTCGTGGGTCCCTCCTGACCTCCCCCTCCTCCTCCTCCTCCTCCTCGTCCGCCTCCTCCTCCTCCTCCGCCTTCTCCTCCTCCTCTTTCCTCCTCCTCCTTCTCATCCTCCTTCCCCCGTCCTAGAGGCCCCGCGGGGAACCCCGACGGAACAAGAGACCTGTTCGAGCCAACGGGGCCCTCGCTCAAGACATCTAAAAGGAAAGTTGGACGCATGTTGATTGCCACTGCGTTGGGTGCTCACGTCTCCTTTGGCGTTTTTTATCCTGGAGCCCTGAGGGCCACTCCGCCTGGCCCCTCCCCTATTCGTCGAGGCCTTGCGGCCTATCCGCAAACCCCTCTTGGGCGTTCATGGCAGTTCTAAGTGAAGGCAAGACCACGAGCCAAAATAAGTAGAACACATAGCATAAATTAACATAAATTACCAACAATGACAACATAGTTATAAACCGTCCCCCCAAATGTTATAACACCTTTAACTTGGGACCATATGTAATTCCTTATAACTATGTTACAAAGAATGTAAAACGCAAAATATACAAAGTACCGGTTCGACCCCCCCCCCCCCGTCCGGAAAACCGGGGGGGGCCACTACCGGTTCGAACCCTCCCCCCCCCGCAGCTCATCATGAAAAGGGGGGGGGTCACTACCGGTTCAAACCCCCTCCCCCCCCCCTCGAACTCGGAAACCGGGGGGGGTCACTACCGGTTCGAACCCCCCCCCCCCCTTCCTCGAAAACCGAGGGGGGGCGCGGACAGTGGCGGGGACAGTGGTGAGTGGACTGCGGGACAGTGGTGGGGGCAGTGGGTGAGGACAATGGTGGGAACAGTGGAGGCAGTGGGACAGTGGTGGGGACGGTGGTGGTGGGGACAGTGGTGTGGGGACAGTGGGAATGTGGTGGAAACAGTAGGACAGTGGAGGGTACAGTGGTGGTGGGGACAGTGGTGAAGGCGGTGGCGAGGACAGCGGTGGGAAAATGGGACAAGGTACAGTGGGGACAGTGGTGGGGACAGTGGTGACAGTGGTGGGAACAGTGGTTCGAACCAGTAGTGCCCCCCCCTTCGGTTTTCGAGGGGGGGGGGTTCGAACCGGTAGTGACCCCCCCCGGTTTTCGAGTTCGAGGGGGGGGGGGGGGGTAGGGAAGGGGGGGTTTTTTGCCGGGGGAAGGGGGGGGGGTCCAGCAGGGGGGGGGATTTTCGGAGGGGGGGGGGGCATTGGCTCCGGAGGAAAAGGGCGGCAATTTTCCAAAGTAAAGCGGCGGTGGAACCTAAAGAAGGAACGAGGCCCTTTTTTCCCATGAGTTAAACTTCGATTCCCCATCGAAAACATAAGGGAAACCTGAGGCAAGCTGTGAAACACTTAAGGAACGCGGAGCCCCTCCCCAACGAAAAGGGTTCTTTCTTCAGGGCCCCGACTGTATTGATGGAGTCCCAGATCCCAGTCTATTTCAGGCGCCTTCCCACTTCAATGATCGAGTGGCTTCACCTTCTCCGTCTTCCCAAGGGTGCGGACGGAACGCAATATTTTTTTCAACGCCATCCTACTTCATGGTTCTACCTACTTCGTCCGACCGGTGCGTAGTCGATGACTCGCGAAACCCTGAGCCTTGTAAAACGCACGGAACGGGTACTGCACATGATCGTTTCCATCATGCTAGATACCATTGTTTCTAACTGATGTTAACTGAAGTTCTCCATCCCCTGGAGTGTGTTCGCCTCGTGCGGGGTCGCGCTATTGGGTCTCCCTTCCTCCCCTCCCTCCCTCCCTCCCCCCTCCCCCCCTCCTCCCTCCTCCCTCCCTCCCTCCCTCCCCCCCTCCTCCCTCCTCCCTCCCTCCCTCCCTCCCTCCTTCAGCTGGTTCTTGGCGTGAGCCTCGCCCGCTGGGTCGCGCCGCCGCGCGCCTCCCGCGCCGTCGCCGACGCCGCCGGCGCTGGACGCCCGCCGTGTGCGCTCGGCCGAGGACCCTCTTCGTGGCGCGCGTCTCGACGCCGCAGCTGGGCTCGAAGGAGGCTGCCGCGAGGACCCGCGCCTCGCGCGCGCTCTTCCAAGGGCCTCTTCTGGACGGCCACTGCCGCCCTGCAGGCGCCGCCCGCCCTTTCCCGCGCCTCCCGCTGCTGGCGGGGCCCCCCGCTGCCGCCCCTCGGCGGCGGCGCCGCCCGCGCGGTTGCGGCAGGAGGGCTGGCAAGGCGGAGCAGGCGGCGGCGATGATCACGGAGGACAACAAGGGGGCCACGGAGGATGCGGCCAACGGCGGCTGCGGAGGCAGGGGGGCCCCCACGCCACCGCCCCCCCCGCTGGGCGACTCCTGGGCCGGCGGGCTGCCCTCGCGGCGGGCGTCGGCCCCAGTGGCGCCGGGCGCCGGGCGGCCTCCCGGCGGCGCGGGCCAGGCGTCTGGTGCGACCGCCGAGGCCTCGGCTGCTCAACCCGGCGCGTCGCCCGACGACGTGGTGGCCCTCCCGCGTGCGGGGGGCTGCCCGCGCTTCTGGGCCCCCTGTGCCAGCAGGGCCTGCGGAACCGCGTCGCGGACCCCTTCTGGAGGAGAGCCCGGGGCGGCGAGGGTTGGCAGCGGGGTGCTGGCAGGGAGCTCAGGGGAGCTCGCCGCGCGGCGTGCAGGCCCGCCGCCTCTCTCCCCTCCCGTCCGCCACGCGGCAACCGCCTTGCCGTCTTTCCGGCTCTTCTGCACGGCTCCCTCCCGCTCCGCGCGGTCCGGCTGGGAGGCTCCGTGGCTGGGCCTCCCTCCCTCCTCGCTCCCCTCCCCGCCTCCTTACTTTGCCCGCCTGCGTTCTGCTTTGCTGCTCTACCTGCACCGCCACCCCCACTCGCGGCGACGCCGCGACGTCCCTCGAGTGCCCTCTGACCTTCAGCCCGTAAGCCTTCGAGTTAGCGCGGCTGCCCAGGCGGCCACCGACCTGCCGCGGAGGCGCCAACGCGCGGCCCAGGCGATAAGCTCGTTGGAGGAGGAGGAGGAGGAGGAGGAGGAGGAGGAGGAGGAGAAGGAGGAGGAGGAGGAGGAGGAGGCCCATGACCGCTTCTGCCCATGCTTCGCTCGTGCGGGTGCCCGGAGGCTCCGCCTCCGTCCCCCCCTCCCGCCGAGGCCCTGCCTGCCCTGGCCCCCTCCCTCCTCCCACGGAGGCCTCTTTGAGGATGCCAAGGCGGCGGGGTGCCCCCCTTCCTCCCCAATTTCTTTCTCTCTCCCTGTTTTTTTGTTGGGGGGGGTGTTGTCTCTCTCTCTCTCTCTCTCTCTCTTTCTCGATCTCGAGACAGCATCATCCGTCAGAGCACAGCACCCTGCTCATGCCCTCCTCCCACCGCATCGACGGAACCTCGTCAGCTCACTGGGCCGCGTACGCCTTCTAAGAAGGGCAGTGAGAATTTGCCCGAACTTCCCAGGGCACACGTTCGAGCCATCACGGGCCGTCTGCGGTTGTCATAGAGGCTGATCTCTCCAGGGCCCGTCGAGGTATTCACCCTCCCTTGGAGTGCTGTCGCAAGGGGTTCGGCTACGTCATTTGTAGGGCCTCGAGAACCCCATCGAACCCCTCCTCCTTCCCTCCTCCCTCCTCTTGCTCCTGCCCCCCTCCCTCCTCCCTCCCTCCCTCCCCCTCCCCAGCCTCCCTGGCTCAAGCCCTGCAGCCTGTGCCGCTGGCCCCGCGCGCCCCTCGCACGTGCTGATGCCGGGGGTGCGAGGACTTGCCTCTGTCGATGCGACTGCTCCGACTCGAAGGGTGCAGCGGAGGGCCCACGCCAAGAAACGCCCTGCTTGCTTACAGGGTGCCCTGGGTTTCTTGAGTTTCGATGGTTTTGCTGTGGAAGGCGTGACTTTCCCACGCGGCGTGGGCCTCAGGGTTGGATTTCTGGTAGAGGGTTTCGACCCCTGCCAGCTCGGCCCGACCTCGACTCTTCGGCGTGCCCACGAGCCGGCACGGCCCGGTGCCTGCACGGCGTTGGCCGGTGGGATCCGCTCTCGACTCTGGTGCCGATGCGGCCAGATCCGATGCCTCGCGGCCGTTGCCGCCGACCCTGGAGGCCTCAGCCCTCGACGGAAATGGGAGGGAGATGGCGGGTCATGGGCCCGGGTGGGTGGCATTCTGACTCGGGCCCACCCTCCAGTGGCGTTGTTGTGCATCCTAGTGCAGCCGGTCGGATCTGATTTCTATTCTGGTGCCGATGCGGCAAGATCCGACGCACCTTTCGATTTGGGTTTCCATTCTCGACGAAGAAGAAATGGCATAAGCATAAACTGTTGGCGCTCCACGCGAATTTCTTGGATCCGCGCTGGGCCCCCCTGGCGGCGCCTCTGGCGCCGCCCCTGGCGCGCTCCGCGCGCCAGGGAGGGGGGTCCAGCGCAGATCCAAGAAATCCGCGCGGAGCGCCAAACGTTGATGTGTATGCCGTTTCCTTCTTCAACATTCGGTGCTGATTGGTCTCGGGTTGGGCTAGGACACAGACTGATCGTTCCAGAGCGTTCTGGGCCGCTCTCTTTGAACGGCCGCCGCACCCGACACAGTCAGTCTCCAGAGCCGCTGGACCTCGGAGTTCCCGAGCTTGTCCCAGTCTCATGCTGTCCTGGTCTCGGCTGCGTCTTCCCAGGCATGCGACGTCCTGATTTTGTTCAGGACGGCATCCCTGGAGGTCCCGACCCTTTCCCCAGGACAGGTTTTTCATCCTGAGCCGTCCTTTGACGGTCCCGAGGCCCGGCGAGGGCCCCCCGAGACCGAAATTTGCCAAGGTCCTCCCGTCCTGATTGGTTGTTCACGACGCGATCACGTCTGGGTTATGATCCTGCAGGATCGGAGTGCAGCGCATGGAGTCGACGTTCGTGACAGCCTTCAACTCGTGCGGGTCCCCGAAGGCCCAGGGCGGCGGGCACGATGGGGGTGGCGCGAGGCTGGCAGCCCTCGAAGAAGGGAGGGGGGAGCTCCCATTCGAGGGAGCGCAGACACTTTGAGGAGGGCCGGTCGATCAGAGGAGGAAAAGGTACCCATACCACGACCCTCCGCCCGTTTTCTCCTTTTTGAGCCCTCTTGGAGGCCACCGCTGGATTCGCCTCGAAATTCTGGTCAGAACGAACCTGGGGAGAGGTCCGGGGAGTATCGGTATCGCTTCTTTTTGGGTCCCCAGTCGAGACAACGGTAAGGTGCGTGATCGTTTTCTGATTCGTTGCTTTGCCGATCGGCGCGGGCCCTCGCCCCCCCCCCCTCCCCCCCCTGGTGCAGATCATGCCTGTTTCTGGCGCCTGTTTCGAGCAGGTGGAGTCTACCCCACGGGACGCACTGCTGCAAACAGTCGCACTAAGCAGAGGTCCGGCGCCAGACCCCCCCCCCCCTCCCCCCCTTTCCGCCCAATGTCGAAACGCCGACTAAGATAAACGCTCACTACTCTGGGTCTCTTAATAAGCGTGGGGGGAACCCTCACGACGGGGGTCAACCTCGCCTCGTCGTCCCGCCGCGACGGGGGTCGGAGCGCCTTCGGCGCGCGGTGGCTACCCGCGACGGGGGCCGATGTGGGGCTGTCGGCGGGGATGACGCCCCCCCGACGCTCATTTAGAAACTCGGAGGGTTCATGTGGCGTTGGCGCGCCAGCGACGCCGGCGAAGGCGTTCAAGGTTGAATTCTGCGACTCTCGAGCACCGAGGGGCACGGCAACGCCACTGGACCCGATTGAATTCAGCCTTGAACGATGGGGGCCGCCATCGGTTCAAGGGTGAGCGATCGACGCGGTAACCAAAATCTTTGCGCGCACCGACGCCGCACAAACCTGCCGCAGTTGGCCTTTGGGGGCCCCCTTCGTCGCCACGGCTGGACTCGGCTCGGGAGACTAGCCCGTTTGGACCGTGGGAGGCGTCCGTGGACCGATTCGAGTTGCTGTTGTCTCCACTCTCCCTGCTCCGAAACATAAATTGCAGACGAAACCGAGTGCAAGGATCTAGGAGGAGGAGGAGGAGGGGGAGGAGGAGGAGGAGGAGGAGCAGGAGGAGGAGGAGGAGGAGGAGGAGGAGGAGGAGTAGGAGGAGGAGGAGGAGGAGGGTACCAACCAGAAGCCCACGCCGATCCTGGCCGTGCCGACCCTTGCATCCCTGCCTCTTCGGTGCATCCCTGGCTGCTTTCGAGGGCCCTCCGCGCAGGAGAAGGCTGCAGCACGGGCGCCCGCTGGGCCTGCAGCCTCATCGCGCATCCTTGCTATCGGCCTTGACCGTCGGGCGCGTGGAAAAGCGACGAGTCCCTTGTCCGTGCAGGGTCGGCGTGCTCCGCCGCCGACTGCGAGGCGGCAGTGGCCTCGCGCCTCGGGAGGCACCCTCCCCCGATCCGTGGCTCCTGCACCCGCGCCCCAGACCCACCCGTCCGTAAAATCAATGTCCGCGTGCGCCCGTCTCGGAAGCCCTCCCGTTTTCCAAGAAACCGTATTCGACGCCTCCGGGCCCTTGGACTGAGTCGGGCGTGTCCCTCTCTACAGGAGATTGCAAAATAGTCAAACAAATTAGTCTGAGGACGATTTGTACAGCATTCGTTTTTGACCATTTTTATTTTGTTTTTTGTTGTTTGTTTTTCTTCTTTATATTTTCGTCGAAAATCGGCCTGTAGGGGGACATGCCCAACCCAAACCTATTCGTAATCAGTGTCCGTGTGCGCCCGTCTCGGGAAACCCTCCCGATTTTTCCAAGAAGCCGTATGTGACGCCTCCTGCTTCCGTCTCCTCAGCTTTCCTCCTACTTGTCCACTGAACAAAAACGTGTTTGACGCCTCCGGGCCCTTGGAAGCCGGCCCACGCCCTTCGGAGAAGGGCGAGTGGATAGGGGGCCACATGCGAACCCTCCCCCTCCCCCCACGATTTCGGAGGGGGAGGGTGGCGTTAACTTCGTTCGAGAGCTCCCGAGCGAAGTGAACCCTACCCCTCTCCCCTCCGAAATCGTGGCGGGCAGGGGTAGGGTTCGCATGTGGCCCCCGAGTGGAGGCACCGGCGGCTCTCGCGCCGCTCGAAGGCGGTCCGCAGGCGCCTCCGGGGGTAGGGGTCCAGCCTGGCCCGCTTCTCGAGTCGGGGCCAGCCGTGGCGACGAGACGCCTCCAGGATGCAGGAGGGGAACAGCACACAGACACAATGAATCCTCGATTTCCCAGAACATATGGGAAAATATGGGAAGCGGGGGGGAGGACAAAAACCCAGAAAATGTGTCAAACTGTGGGGGATCCTGTTGTTTGTGTACATTTATTTGTGTGTCCCAGGGCCACTTCAAGGATGTCCGAAAGGATTCAAGCAGTGGCGAGGCGTCCTGGTTGGCCTATCGGCCCACAAAGCAGTGTTCGAAGAACCTGATGTGGTTTGCACAACCTGATGTGGTTGCAGAACATTTCTGGCTGTGGCTTCTTATCTAAACTCATCGGCTTTCTGTTCTAGGAGCATGGTTTTTGTTATTAACACATTTTGGGATGTTAAGAACATGTCGTGGCAGGCCTAGAGGAATGTCGGGACGGTTGGTCCCTGCCAAAAGGATGGAAGATCTACAAGGAGGGATGTCGTTGTCTCGGCAGGCCCTTCCTCCCAGAGGGACGGTTTTCTGAAGGTCCTGTGGGCCCCGTGAGGGCCCACGAAGTCCGAAAATCGCTCAACAACCTGCCGCTGAGTTTATCTTCGGGACGCGAGGAGGTCGGGGTTCCCCTTGTCCGCGCACGTGCCTCGTGCCCTGCTGCGCTGACCCCTCCCTCTGCTTGCATGAGCCCTTGGGATCTGTGAAGCTGCAGGTGCCCCTACGAAGTTCTAGCGTCGGCGACTTTCTATTGCTGGGCACCTTGAGGGCGGCTCCCAATGGTATGTTATTATCCCCGTCTGCTGGTTGACGGTATGTGGATGTTTTTGTCTGTGGGTGTTTCGTTCTGCACCCCTGTCGGGGTTCTGCCACCGGGGCCAGACATCCGACAGTCTCAAGTCGAGCTATCAATTCATAATTTTGTCAAGGTGGAGCTTGTTCCCCAATCAGTGCTTGCACTGAAGAGGTCCTAGAAGAAATTGAAAGATTTGGCGGAAGTTTCCCACCGATTTTTGGTGGCTGGCTGGGTTCCCGGGTTCCCGGGTTCCTGCTTTTTGGTTCCGGGCCGAATTCGGTGGGTTCCGGGTTCCCGGGTTCGCAGTCGATGTGATCAAACCATCCACTCATTGGGGTTGTCCTTGGGTGTAATTTTGTCAAACGGGAGCTCGTTCAACTCAAAGATGTCGGCTGTGCGGCGAAATTCTGCAGCGACATACAGATCGATGAAGCATGCAAGAGCAGCGGCAATGGAGAGAGGGAGAGGACAACGGGAGGGATGTGCTAACTGCCGTCGGGAACTTTTGGATGGCGTGTCGCTCCGCCGGTTCTGGCCCACCACGCTCCAGTGCGACATGCTGTCCATTTCCTGGCCCCCCAGTGTGAATAGAACCCGTGTACTACCCTCATATATACTCCTTATCCTCACCTCTCCTGCGCCTGGCCGTTTGGGCTCAGGTATTGGGACAGATCGATCAGACCTTTGATCGTGCAGGAGGGAAAGACATCCATCTATCTCTCCTTCCCTTTACCAGCGGATCAGGGGTTCTGTACCCTTGCACTTCAACCCCATTCACAGGTTATCAGCCCTTTAAAGCTCACTGTTCATCGAACCCCGCGTCGCGATCTCGCACGCGGCCTCGATGAAACCCAAGCGGCGCATGCGCCGTAAGGGGTCCATCGGGGCCTCGCGTCCGAGCTCTCCGACGGCGCGACGGCTCGGTGACGAGTTGGAGAGCCTTAGAGCGGACTGTGTTGGTGTCCCAGGTACCCCCCCCAGTTCCGACGGACCCGAGGCGCGGCTAGCTGCCGAACTTCACCGCAGCGCCGCCCGCGGGGGGACAGGAGAAGGAGTAGGAACAGGTAGGAAAGAGTTTCGCACGCCTACCTTCGATCCTCCATCTCCTCCTCAGTCGGGAGCAATCCCAACTGCGTCAGGCGAAAGCCTCACTGGTCCTGATACTCCAGGGCGCTTTCGCGCTAACCGCCGATGGACCTCAGGTGCTGGTACCCCCAGCCCTGCGACCGTTCCTGTTGCGGAGCACGTAGCCACCTTCGAGGAACTCAGTAGACCAGCGGCGGCACAGCCGCAGACGCAGCACCCCAAGGTATCATCGGATGAGACACCACACACACACACGGTCCTAGTCGCAGCTCGTCCGCGCGCAACCGTCGTGGGGCCCCAGGCCCATACGGCGAGAGTAGGTCGAGCCCGCGTACAGCCTCTCAGAGGCCAAGCACTCCTCGCGAGAGGGAGCAGAGGGAAGCGCATGCTCCCCACCTCTCCATCTCAGACGACCAGCTGGCGGAAACGTCCGCCGCAGGTGAAATAGCTGAGCTCAGAGACCAGGTTGAAACCTTCGTGTCCAGGCATTACTCTGGACTACTGCAGAGCGTTCAGACGAACGCTGCCAGTACTGCAGCCATACGCCAAGATCTTGACGGAGCCTTAGGGATCATCGATTCCAGGATTGCCGAAGATCGACGCATAATAGGTGAACTGCAGTACCAGGTTGATCGTGAGGTGTCACACTCAGTTGAACGAACGGCGATGGTCGAGAACCTGCGCAACTACCTTGCGCAGATGGAGCAACAGCTTGTGCTCGTACGCGACACAGGCGTATCCGCAGTCAGGATCCTCCACGATGAGATCCACGACCAGCTCCGCAACCGACCAACACCAGCCGAGGCCACCGACCTTGGCGACGTTCAGTCTCAGATCAATAATCTTCGATCCCACATAGACCACACTACGGCGACGCTTCGCAACGAAGCACACACCAACTCGTCGAACCTGATCGACATGTTGCAGCGCACTGAGAGAGTCATCACTC